GCTTGAGTTTCGCCCATTGTGTTGAAAGCTTCAAGTACAGTTCGATTAAGTTTATCGGTTTGAAAGAGTTCGTCAAGATCTGCGGCCACTGTTTTCTGAATCGCATTGCAAAGTCCATGTAAGTGGTTAGTCACGATCTATAAGCAAATAATAAAAGTCTTTGAAATTTGTATTGTATTCACTGGATCTATTTTTAGTATTATTACACTATGACTATGACGATAATAAAAACTTTGATAATCAAAAATTGTTATTATAGGATCAAATGACATATACTTTAAAAAGTCAAATTCATCTAATGCAATACCATCATTTTAAAATTGCTTGAAGCAAAAAAATGATATAATAAAGTGCATAAGACACTTCTCACTCATCTAAATGAATATTTAGTGGTGATAGAAATTAACATAAGCTAAAATTAAGTGTAGAAAACTATTTCGTGAAATTTTACATAAATTAGGATAAAAGCGGAGCTGAGTTTATCAGAAAATAAATATATAAACAAATTCAAAAACTTACATGATCAACAGCACCTTGAGCAAGACCGTAGGCTGCTCCTTCAATTAGTTTGCAACCAACTCGTTTCAGTGTCTCTTTCGCAATTGTTTCTTTAGTAACATGTTGGGCAAGCTCTTTGCCGACCATTTGTGCAACTTTTTTACCACCTTCTTCACGAACTGGACCTGCAACTTTATACCCAATTCTTGAAAGTTTCGTACCACGTGATAAGTAAGCTCCAATACCACACGTCACAGCCGTCATTGCCATGCTCCATTTTTTGTGTTCCCAATAACTCGACATTGTCATATGACCATTCCATAAACATCCACTAACAAAAAATAAATCACTAATTCCTGAAACAAATTAAAAATGCAATAATATACAAATATTGTAATAAAAATAAATGATCGATACCTTCATTGATAAAGAATGATGCAGCGTAAGTTCCTACTCCGACTGTCCAGATTTCAATTAATGCACCAACAATAATTTGTGCTAATGCTAAACTAGTAACAATGAAAACATTTCTCCAAAAGTACCACGAATAGGCTTGTTCTTGTAAAACAATTAAATCTTCCATACCATTGAGTGAAAACCATGACGCTTCGACAATTGATAAAGTTTTTTGTGCTTTCAATGCACCTTCCACACTCGTGAAAGAACAATCCGGTGTTTCAAGTTTTTCAATTCCACACGAAAGTTGATTGAGTGTTTTCTTGATAAAATCAACGTTTTCTGTTGTTTTCAAATTTTCAAATTTTTGTGCATAGCTCAATGTAAAATTGTCGAAAATTTCTTTTAAGTCAGTATATTTTAATTTTTCATAATCAACATGAGTATCTTCAATTATAGATTTATCCATTAAATCAAATAAGAGTCTTTGATAAGGATTTGAGACTAATTGAATTTGAAATCTTGAGTTTGATGCAGCTTCTGAATTGTGCTGGATCTCTTCGAAATGTTCTTGTAAATGTTTATAGGCTAATCGATAGGCAAATTTAGAATTCAAAATTGCCGCAACAACATCTTGATAACATGATGGTAGCGACGAGCAATCTATGTGATTTTTTAATTTATATCTTCCACTACTTGTTTCTTGTAAAACACCAACATTTTCTTGACTAAGAGTTTCTAAAATCATTATTCCATCATCAGTCAAAATTTTTACAGCTGTAAAATCTGATAATGTTAATGAATCAAACTTTGTGAATTTATGTTCATTTTTAATTTGTTCAAAGTTGATCTTTACTTTTCTATTGATCGAGCAAATACCTCGTTTTTCTAAATAAGTTTTTTCGGATATGTTTAATTTTTCATATAACATTTTTGAACAAAAGATGTTTTCTTCTGGTGTTCCCGTTGGATATTGAAACAGTTCTGTTGATTTTAATTTGTTCAAATCTATTTTGATTTCATTACTTTGAACTAACGTGGTGATTGTTGTAGATTGAATCAATGAAAGTTTTTCTTTGTTCACAACAACAAATTCGATTTCATCGGTAAGAATTCTAAATTCTTTTAAAAATGACCAAAATTCTTCTATACTTGGTAGTTGAACACCTTTAGCAATCGCTTGATCAGTAACTATATCACCATTTTTACATAGTTCATCACACAAATTTTTCAGTGTTTCTGTTGAAATACCATATTCGATTGCAATATTTGTTAAAATATCCTCCGAATAAGTTCCGGTACATTTCGATTTAGTTAGAATACTTTGCCTTTGCAGCTCAATAAATGTATCGTAAGCAAGAATTTCATTTAGTTCAAAATTAACAAGTGCATTATATGAAACTGGATGTCCTAAGATATCATTAATGCTATTGATAAAAAGATTATAGATTTGTGAAATGCTTTTCTGTTGATCACTAAATGCTTCAATATAAATTGATATATTTGATTCTTTCTTTTTGAATGATTCAATAATTGCTTGATCATTTGAACAATCATGTATTCTTTCTTCGAATAATTCTTTTGCTTTCGTGAGATCACTTTTGAGTTTTCGAAACTCAGATCCAGATTTTTTTAAAAGCGCACGATTTGCTTGTTTTATAGTAATGGCAGATGAATAATAAAGAGCTTCTGCTAAATAATATGAATGATTGGAAAGAATTTTTTCAAAATAACTTTTAGCTTTATCATATTGTTTATTTTTTAAATAGTGAATGCCTAATTTCAAAAGTTGACTTGGACTATCTAACCATGTGTTGAATTTGAGAGAGATCGTTTGAAGAAATTTTTTAAGTTTAGTAAAAAGTAATTCTTTTTTTGAAGAATCATTGGCTTGATCTTCAATCAATTGAGAATTCTCATCTAACCAAAATGCCCATTTGTCAAGAAAACTGTCTAGTAAGAGTTTTTTAATATCCTTTGTTTCATCCGATGTTTCCAGTTGTTGACGAAGATTTTCATAATGTTCTTTGAATTCCTTGAAGCAATCTTCTTCAATTGTAATTCTTTCATCATAAAACTTCGTGACCATTTTCAACCGTTGTAATTCATCAACATCTCGTGCATCTTTTAGCTGAAAAATCTTTGAACTATACGATCCACCATCTTCTTTTTTACCAATTACAATCAACTGTCCAGATCCTTCTTCGCCACATCTAGCTGCTCGACCATATGCTTGTTCTTCAATGCGACAATTGCCTGGTAAAAAAGTGACAATTACATGTAGTCCACCGGCTTCAACTAATTCTTTCTCAAGTTTTATATCAGTACCACGACCAGCCAAGTTTGTTGCCACAATGACTTTACCACACTTTAAGAAGGCATTTCCTTGTCCGAATGTGAATTCTTCATGCTCTCGCTTATAAACGTAGGGCGCTTTTAAACTATCATAAATTTTATTGTTTGAGTCATTATTTGCTTCATCACTAGCACATTTTATAAAATGTTTTGTTATATAATCAACATCTTTGATTGTTTCGCCAATGATTAGTACAGAACGTTGTTTGAGAATTTTCTTTTTTGTTTCAGTGTAAATGCTATTTATCCATTCATTCTTGTAACCAGAAATCATAGGTCGTTCTTCGAAAAAATTTTTCGGTTTTGAAGTAGAAATTTTAGTCAAATCGACGTTGTAAAGTTCATTAAGTAATTTTTTCTCTTGTGTGGAGCCAAGAGTACCAGAAAGTCCGTATAGATTTCGATATAACTTTAAATATGATACATTCGAGATGAAAACAGCTTTTAAACTCATTAATGATAATTTACAACCATGTTTAATTTGTAGTAATTGATGCAAAGCTTCATGCCATTGTGAACTACTCTGATCAGTTCCAGTATTTTTGTCAATAATAATAATTTTTGGATTGAGATCTGGATCCAATCCAGTTCGATCAACATCGACTACATAATCTACACCTTCACTCATGAACAATGCATTTTTAGCATTGTCAATAAACTTATCCAAATGTCGTTCAACAAAATCATATAAATCTTCTGGTATTTTGATGAATCGTTGACGTGCTGCAATGTTATTCAGTAGAAAAATTAGTCGATGCATAGTTTTCTCTTTCAGAGATTTAAATTGTTTGACATGTTTAGAGTAATCTTTTAATTTGATAAGAAGACGACCATCTTCACCGATTGTTTTCAAATCAATTAATATTTTCCAAACGTCGTCATCAACTTCATCACGCATTACCATACCGTACAGATCTGCAATAACTGATTGTTTGATTATAGAATTGTCATAGAATCTTTCCAAATCTTCCATAGATTTAATTGGTCGATTCACACTTCGCCAAAGAAAAACATACAGAGACTGCAACTTGTCCATATTTGGAATGTCATGTGATAAATAGAGCATATTATTGCCGTTGTCCAAAAGCATACTATCGACTTCATCAACAATAACATTTTCAAAAGTACGTGTACCTAGAATATTCTTTCCGTAAAAACGATCTAATAAATAATCACGTTGAAAACTCGATAAATCACCATAAATTACGTCACAATTATTAAAAACTTCTATTCTTTGATCAATATCTTCGCTACAAATATGTCCAACACGTACATCAAACAATGTATATAGATCTATGTTGCCTTTTGGCGGTTCGGATTCAGCATCACGTTTTGCTAATACCGAACAACTCGTAACAATATCTAACTTCTCACCATAGAGACATTTTATTATACTTAGTGTTGTAATGATTAATGTTTTGCCTTCACCAGTTGCTACTTGTGCCAATAAGTTATTTTCATTCATTAATGTCAACAACACTACTAATTTTTGTGTATCTCTAAGAGAAAATCCACGTTTTAATTTTATTCCTCGATTAACAATATCAAGCATATAAAAATGACGATTTTCCATGTTCTTGATTTTTTTTGTTTCTGTTCGTATTGCAAAAACTATTCTTTTTAAACTTGCTTCATCATCACAACATGTGTCATATACTAATGGTGGTGGACGATAATCATGATCATCATCAGAAGAATGGTACCGATTGGTGTATTCTACCGCATTTTTTAAAATGAGATTTTCACCATTTTCTATTTTTCTTAATAGATCTTTGATCTTTAAAAGATGTTTAGTAACTCCGGTGTGATGCGGTGACTTTAGAATCACTTCTGTCAATCCTTCAATGTTACGATCTTCGGATGTTAAAAGACCTAATTTAGTCATAAGACTTTCAACATGTTTATATGTTTTCGAATCACATGCTAAATTTTGTCGACATTGTTGAAGTAATTGCTGGCTAGAGTATGTCTTTTCTGGTTCTGGATATAATTCAGATAAATTTGAATTGAGAATGCCAAAGTCATCGAGAATATCCGAAGATAGTTCGGTATCTTCAGCATAAAATCGATGCACAAAAGTGAGCAAAGTTTTTGCAGAGAAATGTATTGTTTGCTTTAGTTCATTAACAAGATGTTGAACAAGTTCACTCTGATACAAACTTTCAAGTTTAACCAGATAAAAAGAACATTGTTCTAAATTTTCATCCGCAAATTTCAGCCTACCATTAGTTAGACCGTGCTGCCAATAACTTTTCTTCAATGCTATTGACCATTCAGATAAATTCAATTGTTCTAGAAAACTTGTATCATCTGTAATATATGGTAATAAATTGAGCAGAGCAGAGAAAAGCTCTTCATCAATAGATATATCCATAGATCCTTGTAATTTTTTTGCTAAAATAAGTTTTACTGAATAATTCGTGATTTGTTTTAGAAGACGTCGTAAAATTGATTTTTCTTGTAATTTTCTTCGAAGTAAATTTTCAAGTTTTATCAAAACCAATTCATCAATCCATTGAAATTGACTATAAGAGAGAATAATATAACTGAATAACTCAGGATCTTGATCAAAACTGATCCAGCATTCGAGTACAGTATCGACAAGAAGAAATATTTCACTTGCCTTGAGATGGCATCCATTACATGTGAAACAGTAAAGTAGAGATGCGAGTATTGAATTCTTACTTATATATTCTGCCGACAGTTTGTTTAAACGATCTTCTAATTCATCCCGATCATTGTCGTTAAAAAACTTGCATAGCTCATGGATTCTAAAGTTGTCATTCATATGTTCTTCATCATTGAATGGGAAATATTTTTTATCTTGTCGTTCTGATTGAAATTTTAAGAGTAATGTTCTTCGCACAATGTTCAATTCAATAAATTTTTGATCAATTACTAAGTGTTCAATCGTTTGATCTTCTCGAATTAAAACATGTTCGATTTGTTTACCACTGTTGAAATGGTCTCGAACATAAATAAATTGTCCGGGATCAGTTTGGGCATAGACTTTGATATTGAGTTGATGTTTCCAAGCTAATAGTTCAAGAAGTGCTGGACAAACGTTTGATGTATTTGACTTGATTTTGTCTAGACATATTTTTAATATTCCATTGTCAATATATTTGTGCCATTTGATTGTTTCATTTTGTTTAATCAAGTAAATATGGTACAATTTCGTCAAAAGTTTTTTATCAATGTTCAGTTTTTGTTCTTGAATATCTTTAACAGTCTTAGTTGTCATAAAGTTTGGATATTCATGAAACTTTTGCCAACTTGCTTTTAGAGGTCGTTCTGATAGAAATTGAACTGTTTTCAAAATGTTATCCATTGATTTTTGATTTTTGTCAATGAAATTTTTCTGTAGTACCAGACATTGTTGAAAACGAACATGTTCATTTTGAGATTCTTTATAATCTATGACGAGTAATTCGAGTAATTTTGCCAATGTGTCATTGGCAATCATGAGGGAACGCAGTTGATTAAAGAGATCGATCAAGTATTTCAGTAAATGTCCATTGTCGTCAGGTACTTTTGCGTTAACAATGGAAAGATGATTGTTCAATTGTGGAATATTCTTCACATCTTTCTCTAAAATTTTCAATCGATTCGAAAAATTTGTCCATTCGTTTTGATTTTTTCTTAGTTTGGCTAATTTCTCGGTTGTTTTTTCAAATGTTCGATCGTCTCCTGTATCCAAACTTTCTAAATAATCTTTTAGAGTTGCATCACCAACTTTTATAGAAGACAAATCGTCATAATATTTCTTTATGATGGTTAAATTATCAGTAGATAATTCATAATGACGTAGATCATCGAAAGCATTTTGAATACATTGATTTCGATCGGTTTCATCCTCGAATTCTAGAATCTTTTTTATGTTGGAATTTGACTGATTACTGAATTTAAGATATTTTCCAGAGTGAAAATCATAGTGTTGAACGATCTCACTGGTATTTGCAGGTAAATAATCGATTACGGTAATCTTATGAAATTTCGCAAGTCCGATTTTTTGTCGCATTCGACCAATTTCCACTGTTTCAATTTTTTGATTGCTTTCATAAATATTAAATTTGTTTTCCACCTGTCGTAATTCATCTTCTGAAAATTCTTCTTTAAATAATTCGTTCCAGTTCATGTCTTTATTTTGAGTGTTTTCGATCGCAAACAGAATCTGTGACTTCTGCTGTTGACGAAGTGTATTGCTTGTTTCTCTAGTTTTCACAGTTATCTTCTTTACTTCCTTTTCACCTTCATAAATTTGATATCGACTGACTTTTTCACGCGAACGCTCTTTAAGGTTTTCGACTTCTTCCAATGCTGTCTTTGCTTTTCGTTGCATAAGATCAAAAGTCATAGTGGCTTCAGCATGCATTTGAGAGATTCCGTTAACCAACTTGTCTTCTTTTTCGAAATACTGTCCATAATTTTTTTCCATAACACCTTTCTGCATGGCACTTTTACGTGTTGCAGTAGCTTCATGATGTCGTTGACGTTCATTCGTTGTTGTGCGCAGCTTTTCACTTTCAGCTAGTTTACGATGTTTAAGAAGTGATTCTTTAATAGTTGCATAGCACATTAATGATCCACATGCATCATAACGGTACCCACAGTAAACTCGATCAGAACTATCAGACGAATAGGTTATAGTTAAACATTGGTTTTGATTTGTACCGAGTTCGATAGGCTGCGACCAAAATTGATAGTCTGTATAACCCACATCCCATCCATTTTTGCCATATTCACCAGTTCGTCCAGGCTTACCATTCTGTCCATCACAACCTTTCGTGGCCTGGACGTTGATAGGAAATCGTTCATTTTGTCTTGATATCGCTATGCATTCACCTTGAAACGCACCTTCTCCACCTAATCCATTCAATCCACCTCGTCCACCAGGTTGTCCTTTACTGCCCTTGTACAAAAGATAGCAATTACCAGAAATGTATCTACTTGCCGAATGAGTGATTTCTTGGCCGTTGCTTAATTTCAGTTTAGCATAACAATTGTTTTCTTTCGTCCAGTTTGGATCCGGCTGTCCCATTCGGCAAATTTCATTATATACGTCCCATAAATTATGAAATCTTCCCCAAAAACGCACAGGACTTGGAAATTTCTCCTTCAATTCTTTCATGGAAATTCCTGTGCCATTTGTTCCATTAGCCCCATCACCACCATCTTGTCCATTAGATCCACTGCCGCCGTTCAAAATCACTGTTAAGCGCTCGGCATTCAGCATTTTATCAGCTATGATCATCACATTTCCACTGCTTTCACCTGAGTATCCATCGATACCGTCTTCACCATCTTTAACACATGAATTGCCATTTTTTGCTTTGGTGTAACATTTTCCAGAATTTAAACCTGAAAGATCCCATTTGCAATTCTTAGAGACATTCACGTTGGCAGCCATAATGAATATATTAAATCCATGCCAATGAGAATTTTCCAAATCACAATCGATGTCCAACATGTGTACAGCAATAAAACGAAGTTCATCGATTAAATTGTTTTTTTGTATGTTATTAAATAGCTTATATTCAATTTCTGGTAGTTGCTTTGACATATAAACTATACCGCCAATAATCTCAAGTATCGATCGGTTTCCAATGTGCTTGATCATTATTTCAACAGGTTTTAAATAGAAGCCAATAAGTTGCAATAATTGATTTTCAAGAAAGAGATGATCAGGTTTTAAAGACTTGACCGACTCCAGAAATCTTTGAAGTTGTCGAGGCGAATTACTCTCCAATTTTATCCCATTCATGAGCTTCTTTAAATAACTACCAGTGACCGATTGCGATGCACAATTCTGTTTGAATTCTACCAATTTTTCATAGACGATGGGCGAAATTACATTTGTCTGAAAGCAGCCAATAAGACATTGCAGTACTTCTAACTCCATATTTCCATCCTTGGATTTTTCTAGAATCTTTTCCCATGTATAAGCCTTCAAATTTGCAATAAAATTTGCCAAATCATATTCTTCAATCAAATTCGAATATAATTCAAGTTGAATGACATAAGATCCTGCTTGATATAAACCCAATAAATCATTCAACGTAAAAATTTGATCCGAACGGCGAGTAAACTTGTCTACAAAATTCTTGTCGTTGCAGCATTTATTGACCATGTCTTCGAATTCAACACGTGCACAATCCACAAGAACTTTAATAAAACAATTTTCGACTAATTTCACATCGGCAGCATGTGGTAATTCTTCTTGTCTCAAATTCTTGAAAATCAACTTTTTTGTTTCATCTAAATTTAATTGTTGTTCACAAACTGCATCTTCTATTGCTACTTCCACTTCAATGGCAAACATTTTTTAGAGTTTATGAAATAAAAATTTATCTCGTGAATAAAACAAAACAACCAAGTTAATTTTGTATTAATCACTTTGAAATAATTTCATAAGTTTTTTGAAACATATCTGAAAGATATCCATTGTTATATGGTATGATCGTAAATAGAATGTAAGAAGAGGCAATTTTTTTGAAGAAGTTGTACTCATTTTCAAAATTCAGAATTTTAGATCATGTGCAGTTAATCAAATACTCTGTGCTTTTATCTATTTATGTTAGAAAAAATTATTTATTCTCATAAAGAAAAGATTTTATCGTTTCTATGTGTGCATAGGTGAAACAAACGATTTAAATACATTTTCTCAGTCTTCAATAAAGTTTTAACAAAAATTACGGACACATCAATTCTAGTTCTAACCAATTCCAAGCATTGAAGGCTATCGTTCAATTTTCTTCCCATTCTTAAAACGAATTCTGGTAAAAACAATTCGCAGCGAATAATATATATTGTACAGTTTTTTCTCCTATTGTTAGCTGTCTGACTTTTAACTTCTAATAAAATTAGAAAGAAATATCTTATGTAACTTTGATTTTATGCTAAAATCCTCGATCTATATGGAAATAGTAATTATTCATGACTTGAGAACGTTCACTCACACAACAGTCAATGATTACTCTATTGTAGATATTATTTTAGCCTTATTATATGCGAGTCTAGATGAGATAAACCATTTTTTCTACAAACTCGTAAAATTCTTTTCTCAATTAATCTAATTGCTCACTGATGTTTCGACAATGATCATTGTCGCAACTTTTATACTTTTTTAATTTTCTGCGGAAGTCTGCGATTAAAACTTTTTTTTCTTAAAAAAGAAATAATCTATGGCAAGCAGAATACGAAAAAGAACTCTGATGAATCTGAAATATTCATATTAATGCAAATAACTAATAGGTCAAATGGTTTAACAAACCTTTAACTTAACTTTTCCTCTTATAGACTTTTATGATAAAATTTGTTTGCTTATTGCTTGCCACGTCTTAGAGTGTGTGTAAGAATATTTATTGTATGAATATCTGACCATCGATATGAATACATACATCTCTATATATACTAGTGAACAACACAAGAACAAGGAATATTCCTAAATGAAAGGGAAAACTTCCAGAGGATAAGCATAACAAGGAATATTCCAATGCAGAAGAACGAACAAAAAGTATGTGTAGAATAGATGTACGTAAACACCACTAGCACGAGAAAAGGAAAGGCACGAACAAAAAAACAAGAAAAATAAAAGCAAACGTCAATAATTCACACTGTCTTCATCAAAGCAACTATTTACTTTCTGTTGTTTTTTCGTTGTTGTCTTCTTATATACTAGCAAAAAATACTGAGGGCACGTGTATACTCATATTTGTCTATTTGGCATATGAATTTTTTACGGCTTCATATGTGCGTCTGCATATACATTTCACTTATCGTTGAAATCGATCTTTCTCTCATTATCGCATAACTGTATTTTTATCTTTATATACGCTAAATCTGCATAACAACTGAAAGGAATTTTCCCACTGTTAACATTTTTGTTTGCTTACGAAATAACTCACTTATGAATAATCAAGAAACAACTTGTCTCTGTAAAATAGAAGCAATACTCTATGTGACCTAACTGAAATATGTAGTTATAACACATCAAAACACCGATGAATACGATGGACAATCTGCTTATTTGTGTTTATGACTCATAAAGGAAAAACCCACTAGACAGACAGACGACAAACAATTTATATGGCAAGAGAAACGACAATGAATACTTATACGTGTATATAATGTGTTGTTTAACGCATAGAAATCAATGTTACTACTATTTATATTCATATAGTCAGCTATTGTATATTAATATTTTATTGTAATGGACAAGCTTCGGTGTTATGCCCCATAATGTAAAATTATTTGTTTTCGATAACAAATAAGTACAGTACTTACATCTATTGAAGGAAGTTACTAGAAAATAATGTCATTAACAGCAGGATATATTTATCTTTGTCACAAATCTCGAAGGATTTCGAGAAGGAAGATAATTATATAGCGAAGCTCATGTATTCATACGAAAGGAAAAAAAACACCGTCATAAATGACGCAGGACACACGCATATATATATATATGTGTCTATGTTAGCGTCAAAAGATGTCGCTCATTGACACCAAACTTATAATCATCTATTGCCAGTTATTTGGTCCTCTATGAATTTTCTATTGCTTTTTTCCGTTATGGCTGACTTCTCGTGACTCATGTTATATAACGGGTGTCCCATAATAAATGATCCCTCAGTATTTTGCATATTTCTCACCGATAATTCAGCTTAGAAAAAAGGGTGTGGATTTGGGTGAGTGTTGGTATAGATAAAGAGACAGCAGATACCCACACCCACCCACACCCCAATTCCTCAATTTATCTTTTTACTGTGGGTACAATTTGTTCACCACTCAAGTGATGAATATGGTTCTTTTCAATTAACGATCCAAAAGCAACTTAAATTATTGCTGGATAAAGACTATAGAGTGTCCAGTAAGTCCTTAGCCAAAGAAAAATTTGGATATCTTTATTATGACTCGAGCAAATGGGCTCATTTGTTTACCTAGAATAGAGGCATGTTCACACTTCAAATCCATATGAACAAGATTAGTGAGAACCTTTGCTAAGTATCACTATTGAGGGTGTGGGTGTGAGTTTTGATGCATTCACACACACCCACACCCACACCCACACCCACACCCACTCACACCCACACCCACACCCACACCCACCCACACCCACACCCCACCCTTACTGAATGCACCGAATTAATTATAATCATTAATCAAGATACTAAAGGATTTTATGCAGAAATTTGTGGCTTTCTAAAATGATTACTACTCTCTAAAAAATAAAGGACTTTTACAAAAAACCTTTTTGTGGATTCTGCCATTGGGTACTATACAGAATCGTCAAAATGATTCTCACTAAAAGTGGGTTCTATGAAAAACTAATGGAACTATTAATAATTTCTCACAAAAAATGGCTCAGCGTAGAAGAGGTTCAGTAAAAATTCAGATAGAACCATTCATAATTCCTTATTAAAATAGTTCATTTTGTAGCAAAGAATACTCCATTCAAAAGGTTTTCTCATAAAACCTTTCCTATTGTACAGTAATAGATTCTATATCTTAACAGAAATTCATTCTTTGGAAGCCATAGGTTCTTACTGTTAAAGGCGGTAGCTTCAGAAATATTGAGTCAGACTCCAAATCTACCTAGGTCTCAAAAGAAAAAAAAACTAATCTTTCCACTTGAACCATAATTCATTCTTCATTTGCCATGACAACCAACGTAAAATAAGAAAAGTAAAATATTATTCGGTTTCTATTTAAATAACCTAATCTACCACTGATATGATCTCCATATGAACTGAAGTACAAAGAGAAAAATATTTAGCTTTTCATTTTTAATGTAACTCATCATTCATGTAACAGGAAGACGAATCGAAATACAAAAGAGAAAATACTATTTTTTTTAAAATTTATTACATCTAACTTCTCCTTCCTATGATCTCAATATGAACTGAAACATAAAGAGAATAAATGCGGGAACTTTGGGTTTAAATCCGAGAGTTATGTGTACTTCAAAAAGTGAACTATACAAATCAATCATTCTAGACTGTAGGTGTTGGTGTGGCTGTGGATGCAGATGTGCGCTAGTGTAGGTTGTGTGAGGTGGATGTTTTGTTTTCCGTCTACACCCATCCACACACACTGTTGGTGGAAACTGTTTCTGCATGTAGTGTCTCACTGTTGTCATTCTCTTTGTCGTCGATTTCTTCTAAGACTACTTCAATTCATTCATTTCCAGTCAGTTCTATGATCTTTCTATTAAAAGAACTAACTCGAAATGGGGCATACGGATAAATTAATATGTTTTCTTCATCTGGATTTTCTGAAACTGGTTTAATCTACAGAGTTGTACGTCGATAATCATGGATTTTATATTTACACAAAAGTGATATCGGATTTATTTTTTTCGAAATCAGGAGCAGCATCCATTTCTGCAATTACCTGGTTTTTTAAGTCAATTGAAGTGTGGTAGTTATTATTATGGAACTGTTTTCATATCCTTTCAGTACGTTGTCGCTATCAATAATGGAGCCTCTGTTTACAGTAAGATCTTGAGAAACGTCAAGACTCGCACAACCGAACCCAAACTTCACCTCTTCTATGTAATGACAAATTCGGGTGTCACCCAAGAACTTTATCTCGTACTCTCACTTCAAATAGATTGCATTTGTCAGTTTTGGAGAGATAAAATCTGCTATGCTTACAGTGTAATAGAAAAATATATTTGATTTGCTTTTTTTTTCAAAGTCGAAATCATTTTGGTGTATTATTCAATCAATCAGTCACTGGAAAAATGGAAGCATTTTTGTTCTGAGAATTGATCCTGTCGGAATTAAGAATTAGAAATATTCTTGAAAACGAGAACATTATAGGATTCATCTCGAAAAATGTAGGAAGTATAGAATCACTAGAAAGCCAATATACACTCAAGAGTATGCAGAAGTTTGTCCAATGCTTTTTCCCCGTTAAACTCATCTACTTTAGATCATCTTTATCATCATAGAGCTATATGATAACAGATGAGAATATTTTACTTGAAAAGAAACACTTCTATGTTATATGATTTTTGTAAATTATTAAAAACTACTCGAATAGCAGAGTCATACGATGGATGTTTAACAGGAAAGCTTAATAAATGCCTGGAATCATTTCATGTTAAGAAATAGGCCGAGAAATGTGTTAAAATAGTAAAAGCATGGCTTGGTTTTTATTTATCGTGGAATCATTTCTTCGTTTAAATATTGCATCGGATGTTTTTGTGTTTTTGTTACTCTGTGCAGAATATTCTTTCAATAGTTTTTTTTTTTTATAGTGTCAAAAACATTCAAGCAACAGTGTAACTTCTTACTTCATCAGCACTATTCACTGAGG